TGCGAAATATGTTCATACGTACACACTGCACCATAGACTCAAAACTGCCCATAGATTAAACACTGCCCATAGACTCAACACTGCCCATAGACTAAACACTGCCCATAGACTCAACACTGCCCATAGACTCAACACTGCCCATAGACTCAACACTGCCCATAGACTCAACACTGCCCATAGACTAACACTGTGTAGTGTATAGTAGTGTATAGCAGGGTCGGTTTCTTCATTAGGGCGATTGGGCGACGCACCACCAATGTCATTCAACCACAGAGTCACGCTAGCCGTCACTGTGCCTCTGGATATAGTCCAATCAGCGTCATGCTACGTTCTGTGGAGTACCGCCTCTTTTTGGGCGATTTCCCTCCAGCTGAGAATCGCCCTGAGTGGTCCCATAGACTTACATTCAAAGATGTTTTTTTTCGAACGGGGGCGCTGCAATGCATTCTCTATGGCTTCCGGGAGGGCTCGCACTAACGTGCTTACGTCATCATACGTGCTTACGTCATCATACGTAAGCACGTTTCATCCAACAATATAATTTGTCGCCACCTAGTGGAATCTTTAATAAAAGAAACTTAAGTGGTTTGTTTTAATAGTGAGTATAGAAACAAACAAGATGTATTGTAAGAGTCACTTTATTTTTCATTAATATTAAAGAAGTGAAGTTGCCTTTACATGCTTAAGCTGTTAATTTATCCATTGCATGGGTGGACCTTATCCTTATCAATCATCCAGACATTTGCCCCCCCTGAGAGATTTTGCAGGAGCCGCCACTGGTGTATAGTGTAGTGTATAGTAGTGTATAGTGTAGTGTATAGTGTTGTAAACTAGTACAGCACTAGTGTATAGTATAGTTGTGTAGTGTATTGTACTTTACTACGCGTCTCTTCGTACTCACTAACATGTACATTTTTTCTCTAACCCCTCCCTCTCTCTGCCTCCGCCCCCCTCTGTCTATTTAAGGCCACCCCACAGAGACGATCCCCCCTCTCTGTACCTGTGTTGCTCTCTCTATGTATCTTGGTGATATCTGTCTGCTTATATGTCTGTCTATAGTTTTCTGGTTAGATTTAATGTTGCTATTTCATTATACCTGATGATGATTGCTTGTGTTGCAATCGAAACGTCGTATGCTATTATTTAATTTATTATTTTATCTTTATACGAAAGAACCAAAGAATAAAGATGATTCCATTTCAGCAATTATCTCATCGACAGGGATTTGTACGTGGGGGCAACTGCAAAGTTAAGGCCTTGAGACAGGACTGAACCATATCGTTGGATAAGTAAATGTTAGTCCTGTTAACCGTTTGTTTATAAAATGTTCATTTTTAGTTGAGAGCAGGGGCGGTTTCTTCATTAGGGCGATTGGGCGACGCACCACCAATGTCATTCAACCACAGAGTCACGCTAGCCGTCACTGTGCCTCTGGATATAGTCCAATCAGCGTCATGTCACGTTCTGTGGAGTACCGCCTCTTTTTGGGCGATTTCCCTCCAGCTGAGAATCGCCCCGAGTGGCCCCATAGACTTACATTCAAAGATGTTTTTTTTTCGAACGGGGGCGCTGCAATGCATTCTCTATGGCTTCCGGGAGGGCTCGCCCTAACGTGCTTACGTCATCATACGTAAGCACGTTTCATCCAACAATATAATTTGTGGCCACCTAGTGGAATCTTTAATAAAATAAACTTGAGTGGTTTGTTTTAATAGTGAGTATAGAAACAAACAAGATGTATTGTAAGAGTCCCTTTATTTTTCATTAATATTAAAGAAGTGAAGTTGCCTTTACATGCTTAAGCTGTTAATTTATCCATTGCATGGGTGGACCTTATCCTTATCAATCATCCAGACATTTGCCCCCCCTGAGAGATTTTGCAGGAGCCGCCACTGGTTGAGAGTTGTTCGTTAGTCTAGCAAATTTGTTCATTTCGGTCGTGTTAGTTTTGTTAAATACATTATCAGCTGATTGCTGTGTAATTGTGTCGATTATATTGCAGAGACACTGTTACTAATGTTTACGTGTAAGGACATTGGTGCTTTATAAATGTGACTTAGTTAACTTCTAGTGCGCTGTATTCTCTCTGTTTTAGCAATAATTCACGAGCTTTATGTAGTATTTGATTAGCTTTACGTGACCTAATGTGATGAGTTACTTTAACTGCGTGGCATTTACTTTGAATCTCTGCATCTTTTGAGAAGCGCCAGGTGAGGTTTACGTGACAACCCTTACGAGTTGGCTGTGTCGGGTGGTGGAGGGTTAAACGACACGCGTATATTTACGCGATCTAACCTCACAAAAACCTCTTATGGGTGATATTTGTCGCGAAAGCCGCCAACCACGTATTACACTGCGACCACGTGTTACACTGCGACCACGTGTTAAACTGCAGCAGTCGTGGTGTGAAGGCGGAGAGAAGGGGGGGGGGGTCACGTGACGCACGCGGGCCGCCCGTTTTTGAGTTGACGGTTGTGGAGTCGGGTCACGTGACGAGGGGTCACTTAAAGCCTGGGTCAGAGCAGCGGGCCCGCGTGGTCCGGAGTGGCCATATACAGTATGCACGGTTAGAGGGTTTGTGGTTAGGGGTTAGAGTTTAAGGGTTAGCGGTTAGTGGTTATGGAGTTAGTGGTTAGAGTTTAAGGGTTAGGGGTTAGGGGGTTGGCGTTAGAGGGTTCAGGGTGCGGGTTAGAGGGTTAGGGTTTAGAGTTCGGGGGTTAGGGTTAAAGGGTTTAGGGATAGTTTTCGATTTAAAGCTTTCGTGACTGCAGGGATTCATCTTCTTGGTTCTTTCGGTAAAGTCACGTAGAGGGGAAGTAATACAATAATAAAAATAAAACATAATAAAACAATTCTCACGACGTTTCGGCCACAACGCAAGCAGCCGTTCTCAGGTGAAGAATGAGTCAATGCCAAGCTAGGAGCTTATATATAAGCTGCGTTGGAGGTGGAAGAAAGAGCGCCTTAACAAAAGAATGTGCATATGAAGAGGAATTTAGCATATACATGGGAAATGCGTAGGAGGTGGGCGGGGGGGTTTCAAAGTCATATTATGCCCATGCATTATGCAGGATCAACAGCACCAAGGGGGGGTGCAGGGATTAGCAGTAACAAAGGAAAGGAATGTTAATGATATGTAGCTGCAGTTACTCAACAACCACGTAGAAAACTAAAGTATAAACTACATAAAAAACTAAAGTATAAATTGCATAGCACCATCAGTATACTTACTATACTCTACACTAAGCTGAGTTACTAACAGCAAGTAATACATTACAATTCTACGTCATAAAAATTATATAATATGCTTCCATCTAAACTTTATTCTATTGTATCACACGAGCATATACCGTACTATATACTGCCAACATTAAATTATATACTGTATTGCTGTAAACCAACCTATACCTTATACATTTAATATAACACTATGTATTATTCTACCCACCCTAATGTGTGTCGAAATGGTTTATTACGTCCTTCCAATGATTGCTAAGCCAGAATCCATCTTCTCGGTTAAAATTGTCTCTGTGTTTGTATATTTGGATCGCCTCATGAACGAATCTCTCATGATAGCCAGATGGCTTGCAGAGAACCTCTGTCTTGGAGAAGTCAATATCATGTGAGCCCACTGAGTTGTAACAGTGATCTGCCACGGCTGAGGTGTTTGTCCTACTGTGTTTCAGGTCAGCTTTATGTTCACGGATGCGGTCCGAGACATGTCGTTTGGTTTCCCCACACATTAGGGTGGGTAGAATAATACATAGTGTTATATTAAATGTATAAGGTATAGGTTGGTTTACAGCAATACAGTATATAATTTAATGTTGGCAGTATATAGTACGGTATATGCTCGTGTGATACAATAGAATAAAGTTTAGATGGAAGCATATTATATAATTTTTATGACGTAGAATTGTAATGTATTACTTGCTGTTAGTAACTCAGCTTAGTGTAGAGTATAGTAAGTATACTGATGGTGCTATGCAATTTATACTTTAGTTTTTTATGTAGTTTATACTTTAGTTTTCTACGTGGTTGTTGAGTAACTGCAGCTACATATCATTAACATTCCTTTCCTTTGTTACTGCTAATCCCTGCACCCCCCCTTGGTGCTGTTGATCCTGCATAATGCATGGGCATAATATGACTTTGAAACCCCCCCGCCCACCTCCTACGCATTTTCCATGTATATGCTAAATTCCTCTTCATATGCACATTCTTTTGTTAAGGCGCTCTTTCTTCCACCTCCAACGCAGCTTATATATAAGCTCCTAGCTTGGCATTGACTCATTCTTCACCTGAGGACGGCTGCTTGCGTTGTGGCCGAAACGTCGTGAGAATTGTTTTATTATGTTTTATTTTTATTATTTTATTACTTCCCCTCTACGTGACTTTACCGAAAGAACCAAGAAGATTTAGGGATAGTGTTATGCGATTGGTATTAATGGTTAGAGGGTTAGGGATGTTTTGGGGTTAGGGGTTGTCCCACTCACAATCCCTCCCAGAGCTCCCACTTGCAATCCCTCCCAGAGCTCCCACTTACAATCCCTCCCATGCATCCCACTCACAATCCCTCCCAGAGCTCCCACTTACAATCCCTCCCAGAGCTCCCACTTACAATCCCTCCCATGCATCCCACTTACAATCCCTCCCATGCATCCCACTAACAATCCCTCCCAGAGCTCCCACTTACAATCCCTCCCAGAGCTCCCACTTACAATCCCTCCCAGAGCTCCCACTTACAATCCCTCCCATGCATCCCACTTACAATCCCTCCCAGAGCTCCCACTTACAATCCCTCCCAGAGCTCCCACTTACAATCCCTCCCAGGGGTCCCACTCACAATCGCTCCGAGGGGTGTATGTCTGTCCGTGTTGTCCCGTGCGTAGCCCAGGCGTGCTCATCAAGAGGTGTCGCGGTCTCGAGTCATCACGTCGCCCCCCCGCCCCTCTCACAAAGCCACGACAATGAATCACACGAGTCGTGGCGCGGTGCCCGTGAGGCCGAGTAAGGGGGTTTTACTGGGTCCAGTAGGGGCAGTCAGCGTGCAATGTGCCAAATTACCGTCGCTATCGGCATCGGAACGGTCTCATCGCCACGGGAACGCGACATCTTGAAGTCTACACTCTCACCACCAGCGGGAACAAGTCACACAGCTAAGTCACTCGCAGCCACGCCGCCGCCGCAGCAGGGACAGGGGCAGGGTGTGGGTTCAGGGCTATGGCTCTGCGTTGTATTGTGCCCTGGGTGTAGGGGGTCAGGGGCCGGGTTTGACGTCGAGGCTGGCGTCAGGGCGAGGGTTGAGGCAGTCTGGAGGGTCAGGGGGCCGGGGCCGAGCTGAAGGACCTCGCCACGGCGGCTGGGAGATGTTAACTCCCTCGCCTGGTCTGCAGGAGGTCGTGCGTTCGACCCCGACCCTGACAGCGCCTGTTGTATATTTGGAGTTTGCGTGTTCTCCCTGGGTCCTCCGGGTTTCCCCCCTCCACTTTGAGAAACACCACACGCACGTTTAGAGGATTTGGCTGCTGTACATTGACACACGATACGTCAATTCGTTTTGCCCTCATTTGTGGCCAGGTGGTTATTGAACAAGGGCGTTATAGCTAAAGTGGGCCTTACCTGGTAAAACAATAATAGTTTAGTGTTAATATGGGTCTCTCTGGGTCTCTATGGTTCTACACAAAGTCTCTGTGGGTCTCTGGTTCTACACAAAGTCTCTCTGGGTCTCTGTGGGTCTCTGGTTCTACACAAAGTATATCTGGGTCTCTGTGGGTCTCTGTGGGTTTCTGCGGGTCTCTGGTTCTACACAGAGTATCTGGGTCTGTGTGGGTCTCTATGGTTCTACACAAAGTCTCTGGGTCTCTGTGTGTCTCTGGTTCTACACAGTCTCTGTGAATCTCTGTGGGTCTCTGGTTCTACACGAAGTCTCTGTGGGTCTCTATGGTTCTACACAGAGTCTCTGGGTCTCCGTGGGTCTCTATGGTTCTACACAAAGTCTATGGGTCTCTGTGAGTTTCTATGGTTCTACACAAAGTCTGTGGGTCTCTGTGGGTCTCTATGGTTCTACACAAAATCTCTGTGGGTCTCTGTGAGTCTCTATGGTTCTACATTAGTCTATGGGTCTCTGTGGGTCTCTGTGGGTCTCTGGTTCTACACAAAGTCTCTGGGTCTCTGTGGGTCTCTATGGTTCTACACAGAGTCTCTGGGTCTCTGTGGGTCTCTATGGTTCTACACAAAGTCTGTGGGTTTCTGTGTCTCTGGTTCTACACAAGGTCTCTGTGGGTCTCTGGTTCTACACAGAGTCTCTGGGTCTCTGTGGGTCTCTGTGGGTCTCTATGGTTCTACACAGAGTCTTTGGGGTCTCTGTGGGTCTCTGTGGTTCTACACAAAGTCTCTGGGTCTCTGTGCGTCTCCACGAGTTTCGTATAACCAACGCGCATTCGTATCACGGGGCTCCTTTTCACGAGGTCGCCTGCGAGCGGTCGTGGCTCGGCGCGGGACCTGCCTGGGGACAGTCAACACAAAGTGGAAATCGTCGACGGCTTTTGGACGGCGGCGGCGGCGACACTGACGTCACAGCAGGGCTCGTGCTGCATGCGCCCTGGCTCACGACGAGACACGACGAGGAGGAGGAGGAGGGGGACACGAAACACGACGACGACCACGACGATCACCACGACGACGACGACGACACGAGGCGACTCGCGCGTGCATAGCTCGGGGGGGGGGGGGCACACGGGGGGGGGGGGGGCACGCGGGAGAGACCATCGGCACCGCCTCGGCGCATGCAGCACGCGCACGTGCACACACATACACACATACACACACACATACACACACACATACACACACACACCTACACACACACATACACGCACACACATGCACACACACACATACACACATATACACACACAGACACACACACATACACACACCTACACACATATTACACACGCGACACACATACACGTGTGTACGCACGACACACTCATGCCGAAACGCGCGCGCGCGCGCGCACACACAACACACGCATGCAAAGGTGTACGCAAACACATAAAGACAAAGATCCCCCGTATAGCCTTTAGCAAACTTTTCGGGGCAAGTGCTGTTAGCGAGCACCTATGAAGGCCGGCACGGCACTCGAGGGGGTGGGTGGCCAGCACCACGCCCGGCCGCCTTTGTCTCCCCAGCGGCGATGTTTACTACACACCGTATCAGGTACTCATTCGAGGCTGAGTCGACCTAGGGGAGGCCCAGGACCGGTTCAGATAATCGTCACTTGTGTTGGCCGTGAGCGGGAATCGAACTCGGGTCGTCGGGTTCGGAGCGCAGCGTAGCGCTAACCACTACGCCACAGCTCACACACACACAGACAGACGTGGGTACACACACACACACAGACGTGGGTACACACACACACAGACAGACGTGGGTACACACACACACAGACGTGGGTACACACACACACACACAGATGTGGGTACACACAGATGTGGGTACACACACAAAAAGACGTGGGTACACACACACACGTGGGTACACACACACACAGACGTGGGTACACACACACACACAGACGTGGGTACATACACACACAGGCGTGAACACACACACACAGACACACACAAACACACAGTAACCCACACAGACACACACACAGACACCCACACGGATACACAGACACCCACACAGACACACAGACACCCACACACAAACACAGACACACAGATACCCACACACAAACACACAGACACCCACACACAGACACAGACACCCACAGACACACAGACACACACAGACACAGACACACAAACACACAGACACAGACCCACAGAGACACACAGACACCCACACACAGACATACACCTCATCGGTGAACGAAACACGAAAGACGGTGATGACCTCTACAATGATGATGGTGGTGGTGATGGTGATGCTGGTGTGGTGATGATGATGATGGTGGTAGTAGTAACGATGATAGTGGTGGTGATGATGATGATGGTAGTAATGATGATGGTGGTGATGGTGGCAATGGTAGCAGTATTAATGATGACGATGATGGTGGTGTTAGCAGTAATGATGGTAGCAGTAGTAATGATGACGATGATGATGGTGATGAGGATGGTGGTGATGGTGTTCGTAGTGATGATGGTAGCAGTAGTAATGATGACGATGATGGTGGTGACGAGGATGGTGGTGATGATGGTGTTAGTAGTGATGATGGTAGCAGTAGTAATGATGACGATGATGGTAATGATGGTGTTCGTAGTGATGATGGTAGCAGTAGTAATGATGACGATGATGGTGGTGACGAGGATGGTGGTGATGATGGTGTTCGTAGTGATGATGGTAGCAGTAGTAATGATGACGATGGTGGTGATGATGGTGTTCGTAGTGATGATGGTAGCAGTAGTAATGATGACGATGATGGTGATGATGGTGTTCGTAGTGATGATGGTAGCAGTAGTAATGATGACGACGATGATGGTGATGATGAGGATGGTGGTGATGGTGATGATGGTGTTCGTAGTGATGATGGTAGCAGTAGTAATGATGACGATGATGGTGGTGACGAGGATGGTGGTGATGATGGTGTTAGTAGTGATGATGGTAGCAGTAGTAATGATGACGATGATGGTAATGATGGTGTTCGTAGTGATGATGGTAGCAGTAGTAATGATGACGATGATGGTGGTGACGAGGATGGTGGTGATGATGGTGTTCGTAGTGATGATGGTAGCAGTAGTAATGATGACGATGGTGGTGATGATGGTGTTCGTAGTGATGATGGTAGCAGTAGTAATGATGACGATGGTGGTGATGATGGTGTTCGTAGTGATGATGGTAGCAGTAGTAATGATGACGATGATGGTGATGATGGTGTTCGTAGTGATGATGGTAGCAGTAGTAATGATGACGATGATGGTGATGATGAGGATGGTGGTGATGGTGATGATGGTGTTCGTAGTGATGATGGTAGCAGTAGTAATGATGACGATGATGGTGTTCGTAGTGATGATGGTAGCAGTAGTAAGTCGCAACAAAGACGCCGCCGACGACGTCACGATGACGACGCCGACGTCACGATGACGACGTCACGATGACGTCGCTGCAGACGACGTCACGATGACGACGCCGATGACGACGCTGCAGACGACGTCACGATGACGACGCCGATGACGCCGCCGAGGACGTCACGACGACGACGCCGTCAACGGCTTTATTCTCCCAACATGTGTGTGGCGCGCACGGTGCCGTGACGGTGACGACGGCGGTGACGACGGCGAGGCCTCACTTCCACTCAGCAGCGTGCGGTGCCGGGCGGCGCTCGGGATCACGGGGGGGGGGGGGTCGTGACACGGGGGAAGAGGTCAGGGGGGTAGTGACGCGGGGGGTCCTGGGGGTGGTGTGTCAGGGTGTCTGGGTGTCAGGGTGGGTCGTGGAGGTGGTGGTGGGGAGGGAGATGTCTGGGGGGGGGGGCTTCAGCTGTCGGGGGCTCCGGCCCCGCCGAAGGAGACGCGTGACCCCTGGCGGAAGTCCGGGTGGCGGAGGTCGGAGAGGAACCGCTGTGGAGTCAGCAGGTGGGTGGAGCCTGCGGGGCACACGCACGGCCAGGGGCACGGTGAGGGTGAGGGCGGTGGTGAGGGTGAGGGCGGTGAGGGTGAGGGTGACGATGAGGGCGGTGGTGAGGACAAAGACGGTGAGGGTGACGGTGAGGACGTTGAGAGCGGTGAGCGTGATGGTGAGCATGACGGTGAGTGTCGGCGAGTCCCGGCGAGTCGCCGAGTCTTAGGTGAGTGTCAGCGAGTGAGTGAGTGTCGGTGAGTCTTAGGTGAGTGTCGGTGAGTCTTAGGTGAGTGTTGGTGAGTCCCTCAGCGAGTCCCGGCGAGTGTCGGTGAGTATTGGTGAGTATTGGTGAGTGTCGGTGAGTCTTAGGTGAGTGTCGGTGAGTCTTAGGTGAGTGTCGGTGAGTCTTAGGTGAGTGTCGGCGAGTCCCGTCGGTGAGTCTTAGGTGAGTGTCGGTGAGTCCCGTCGGTGAGTGTCGGTGAGTCTCGGTGAGTGTCCGAGTCCCTCGGTCGAGTCCCGTCGGTGAGTCTCAGTGAGTGTCGGTGAGTCTCGGTGAGTGTCGGCGAGTCCCGTCGGTGAGTCTCGGCGAGTGTCGGCGAGTCCCGTCGGTGAGTGTCGGTGAGTCTCGGTGAGTGTCGGTGAGTGTCCGAGTCCCTGGGCGAGTCCCGTGGGCGCGTGTTGTGGGCGGCGCGTCTCCCCGCTCACCGACGACGACCTCCCACTTGGTGCCACCCTGCGACACCTCGAAGGCGCTGCGCGTCTCGCTGAGGCCCACGCCGCCCACAAAGAAGACGATGAGGCGGGGGCCGCTGCGGTACTCGGAGGCGCCACGCGACTCGTGCCAGTGGCCGTAGCGCGAGCTGCGTGGACATGACCACGACCGCCATCAACGACCATCAAGCACCATCAACCACTACCACAATCAACCACCATCAACCACTACCACAACCAACCACCATCAACCACTACCACAACCAACCACCATCAACCACCATCAACCACAACCACAATCAACCACCATCAACCACGACCACCATCAACCACCATCAACCACTACCACAACCAACCACCATCAACTACGACCACTACCAACCACAACCACCATCAACCACCATCAACCACCATCAACCACCATCAACCACGACCACTACCAACCACAACCATGACCACCATCAACCACCATCAACCACAACCACCACCAACCACAACCATGACCACCATCAACCACCATCAACCACAACCACTACCAACCACAACCATGACCACCATCAACCACCATCAACCACCCACAACCACTACCAACCACAACCATGACCACCATCAACCACCATCAACCACCATCAACCACAACCACTACCAACCACAACCATGACCACCATCAACCACCATCAACCACAACCACTACCAACCACAACCATGACCACCATCAACCACCATCAACCACCATCAACCACGACCACCATCAACCACCATCAACCACCATCAACCACAACCACCATCAACCACCATCAACCATCATCAACCACCATCAACCACGACCACCATCAACCACCATCAACCACAACCATGACCACCATCAACCACAACCACTACCAACCACAACCATGACCATCATCAACCACCATCAACCACGACCACCATCAACCACGACCACCATCAACCACCATCAACCACTACCACAACCAACCACCATCAACCACGACCACCATCAACCACCATCAACCACTACCACAACCAACCACCATCAACCACCATCAACCACTACCACAACCAACCACCATCAACCACGACCACCATCAACCACCATCAACCACAACCACTACCAACCACAACCATGACCACCATCAACCACCACCATCAACCACAACGAACCACAACCAACCACTACCACGATCAACCACAACCAACCACTACCACGATCTACCACGATCAACCACGGCCACCATCAACCACCATCAACCACCATCAACCACTACCAACCACGACCACCATCAACCACCATCAACCACTACCAACCACGACAGACCACCATCAACCACTATCGACCACGACCACCATCAACCACCATCAACCACCATCAACCACTACCAACCACGACAGACCACCATCAACCACCATCAACCACGACCATGACCACCATCAACCACCATCAACCACTACCAACCACTACCACGACCACGATCAACCACGACCACAACCAACCACTACCAACCACAACCAACCACGACCAACACATAATCACAAGCATGCAACCACAGTCACGCATTCACGACCACACAACCATCAACATTCAACTGCAATCAACAACAACAACCAAGCACTCACTAAAACACATCCACAACCACGGTCACAGTCACAAAGACAAAGATCCCCCGTATAGCCTTAACAGACCGTTGGGGCAAGTGCTGCTCGTGAGTAGCGCCTACGAAAGCCGGCACGGCACGCTTGGTCTCACAGGCACTCATTTGAGGCCGAGTCGACTTAGAGGAGGCACGGGACCGGTTCAGACAATCGTCACCGGTGTTGGCCACGAGCGGGAATCGAACTCGGGTCGCCGGGTTCGTAGCGCTAACCACGACACTACCGCTCCCCACCACCACACGCAACCACAACAACACAACAACACAACCACGCGGCCACACAACCACAACCACAGCGAGACAACCACAACAACCACAACCACAGCGAGACAACCACAACAACCACAACCACAGCGAGACAACCACAACAACAACCACGGCGAGACAACCACAACAACAACCACAGCGAGACAACCACAACAACCACAAACACAACCACAGCGAGACAACCACAAACACAACCACAACAACAACCACAGCGAGACAACAACAAACACAGCGAGACAACAACAACACAACCACAGCGAGACAACAACAACACAACCACAGCGAGACAACCACAACAACAACCACAGCGAGACAACAACAACCACAGCGAGACAACAACAACACAACCACAGCCGAACTGGCGGCGATGGCCACGCTGGGGGCGGCGAGGGGGGGGTGGAGGTCACCTGACGGCCCCGGAGCCGCCCGAGGTCATAGGTCGCGTGGAGATGTAGGGCCACAGCTTCACGTCCAGCTTGTCGTCGATGGCGTCCTGCTCGCCCCGCACAGGGCGCACGCGGCACCGGTCAACACGCCGGCTCGCCCGCTCGCCCACTCGCTCGCTCACTCAATCGATCACTCACTCGCTCACTCACTCGCTCGCCTATTTAGCCACCTATTCACTCGCCTGTTCACCCGTTTGCTCGCTCGCCTGTTCGCTCACTTATTCACTCACTCGCTCGCCTATTCACTCGCCTATTCAACCGTTCGCCCATTTGCTCGCTTGCCTGTTCGCTCACCTATCCACTTGCTCGCTCGCCGATTCACTCTGATGCTCGCTTGCTCACCTGTTCCCCTACCTGCTCACTCGCTCAATCTCTCGCTAATTCACCGATGCATTCACTCGCTCACCTACTCCCCCCTTCATCACATATTCACACCCTCACCTATGAATTCGCTTGCTCACCCACCTGTTCACTCAAATCGCTCGCTCGCTCGCACCCATTCACTATCTCCATCACTCACCTACTCGCTCACCTGTTCACCCATTGAGTCAACCGCTTGCCTATTCACTCGCCTTCCTTTCACTAAATAAATAGTCAGACAACAACAACAATAAGATTGTGTATGTCACCCTGAATCGCTCGATCCCTCGCTCCCTCGCTCACTCAGTCGCGGTGAACGAACGAGCAGGAGAGTGAGTGAGTGAGAGAGTGAGCGAGCAGGAAAGTGAGTGAGTGAGCGAGCAAGAGGGTGAGCGAGCGGGAGGGTGAACGGGAGGGTGAACGGGAGGGTGAGCAAGAGGGTGAACGGGAGGCTGAACGGGAGGGTGAGCGAGAGGGTGAGCGAGAGGGTGAGCGGGAGGCTGAACGGGAGGCTGAACGGGAGGGTGAGCGAGAGGGTGAGCGAGAGGGTGAGCGAGAGGGTGAGCGAGAGGGTGAGCGCGAGGGTGAGCGAGCGAGAGGGCGAGCTGCAGGGCGGGTGTCGCGACCGCGCGATGGAGGTGGCGATCACCTCCATGATGTCCTTGATGACGGGCACCCAGCGAGACAGCTGGTACGTCTTTTCGCCCACGCGCTCCTTGCGGTCCGGCTGCTTCTTGCGGCGCGCGGACGTCTGCATGCACGCGGTGAGTGCACAGGTGAGGACACGGGTGAGACACACACGGGTGAGACACGCACGGGTGAGTAGTGTGGCAGAGTGGCGGTGTAGTGGAGTCACGGTGTAGTGGTGTGGTGGTGTAGAGGTGTAGTCGAGTCACGGTGTAGTGGTGTGGCGGTGTTGTGGTGGTGGTGTAGTGGTGTGGTGGTGCGGTGGTGTGTGTGGTGGTGTAGTGGTGTAGTGGTGTGGTGGTGTAGTGGTGTGGCGGTGTGGTGGTGGTGTAGTGGAGTCACGGTGTAGTGGTGTGGTGGTGTAGTGGTGTGGTGGTGTAGTGGTGTGTGTAGTGGTGTGGTGGTGTACAGGTGTAGCTGCATAGCGGTGGCGGTGGCACCTCAGCGATGACGGGCACGCCGTAGTGCGCCATGGCGGTGATGATGTCGGCATCCTCCGAGGGGATCTTGGCGTGGTCGATCAACCTCTGCAGGTTCTCGTCCGTGATCCCTGCACGCGCGGACACCGCACGCAAAGGTCCCCTGCGTAGCCTCGGCAGAGCGCCGGGGCAAGTGCCCCTGCGAGCGGCGCGCGGGAAGGCCGGCGCGGCGGCGCGCGAGGGGAGCGGCGGGTGGCCGGCACCGCCGCGCCCGGCCGCCTTTGTCTCCCCGGTGGCGGCGTTTACTGCGCGCCGCACCGCCGGGTACTCATTTGAGGCCGAGTCGACTTAGAGGAGGTCCGGGGCCCGGTCGAGATAATCGTCGCCGGCGTCGGTGGCCGTGAGCGGGGATCGAACTCGGGGCCATGCCGGGTTCGTCGGGCGGTGTAGCGCCACCCGCTGAGCGGCAACACGCACCACGTGGTGAGCGAGTGGTGAGTGAATCGGTGAGCGAGTAAGCGGTCGAGCAAGTGGGTGAGTGTGTGAGTGAGTAAGCGAGCGGGTGAGTGATTGGGTGATTGGGCGAGCGGGTGAGTGAGCGGGTGAGCGAGCGAGTAGGTGAGTGAGCAAGTGAGCAGGCAGGTGAGTGGGTGAATGGGCGAGCGGGTGAGTGAGCGGGTGAGTGAGCGGATGAGCGAGCGAATAAGTGAGTGAGTGGGCGAGCAGAAGAGTGCTCGGGTGAGTGAGCGGGCAGGTGAGCGGGTGAGGGGGCGAGTAGGTGAGTGAGTGGGTGAGCGGGTGAGTAGGTGATTGAGTGAGCGGGTGAGTGAGCGGGTGAGTGAGTAGGCGAGTGGGTGAGTGAGCGAGCGGATGAGCGGGCGAGTAGGTGATTGAGTGGGCGAGCGGGTGAGTGAGCGGGTGAGTGAGTGGGCGAGTAGGTGAGTGAGTGGGTGAGTAGGTGAGTGGGCAAGTGAGCGGGCGGGCGTGCAGGTGAGTGAGTGGGCGGGCGTGCAGGTTGCACCGTTCTTGAGCAGCACGTAGAGGCAGATGACGCGGATCTTGTCCAGGGTGCTGACGTTCTCGTCCAGCAGGATGGGCACGGTGATGCGCATGGGATCCTTCACCTTCTCCCCCTCCGCGTCCAGCCCCGTCGCCAGGTCCTGCACTCGCACACACGCACAAAGCTAAAGGTCCCCCGTGTGGCGCTCACACGCCGGCGGGGCAAGTGCCGTAGGCGAAGAGCACCTACGAAGGCCGGCACGGCACACGAGGGGGGTGGGTGGCCGGCACCGCGCCCGGCCGCCTTTGTCTCCCCCAGTGGCGATGTTTACTGCACACCGCCACCAGGTAGTCATTTGAGGCTGAGTCGACCTAGGGGAGGTCCATGACCGGTTTTAATATTTGCCACTGTTGTTGGCCGTGAGGGGGAATGGAACTCCGGTAGCCGCGTTGGTAGCGCAGTGCACTAACCACTACGCCACCGCTCCCCACACACACACACACACAATGACACACACGGTGTGACACACACACATGGAGTGAGATACACGGAGTGACACACACGGAGTGACACACACACACACAACAACAACCGCCATTCGCCACTAAGTGGTGGTGATGTCACCACGACGCTTGTGCCAGGCTATGTGCACCTTGAGGCCACGTGAAGTGTCGAACGCCCGCTGGCAGGAGGTCACGGGGTAGACCCAAGTGCCACGGGTCGACTGACTGAGATGACTGAGATGACTGGCTGATGCACCACCTGTGCCCCCTACTGTACCAACTTGCTGTGCTTTAGCCCAAGCAAGCATAGAGAAGGGAGGGAATGACTGTGGCTGAGAAAACCTAAAGCTTAGTGCGGCGCGACAGACCAGGTAGCTTCCACACAGCGTTACGCAACCGATGAAAAGATAATGCCGCTCGACTGATTCGGAGTGAGACCTCTGCTGTTTAACTGGAGCCGGTCATAAGCACACTGCCCAGGTATGGGGAACTCTCCACTCTCTCCACAACTGCCCCATCACCGATTGGGAGTTGTGGGGGTGGAGTGTCCAATGGTACAAAATACTCAGTCAGGTGCTTAGTTTTGGTGGGGCTGATGGTAAGGCCGCACCTCTTTGTGGCACGCTCCAGTTTCAGCAGCAGTGCCTCCAACTTCTCCTCTGAATGAGCAGCTATTACCAAATCATCGACATACATAACGTGGTTGAGCAATAGAAAGCCATCCCTTGACCGCACCCGGGTATCGATCAGCCTCCCATTATATCTGTACCAACTGGAAATTCGCCCGGTACAGCTATTGAAAGCTTCACGAACTACGTGGTCAAAATAGATGTTAAATAATGTGGGAGCCAGAGGACATCCCTGTCGCACCCGAAGGTGTACAGGGAATGGCTCTGACTCCCGGCCACGTAGTTTTACCCAGGCCCACTCACCATCATGAAGATCCTTAACGATCTTGAGCAGAGGGTCAGGGACTCCGAAAGTACGAAAAACAACCCAGAGCCCAGTCCTACTGATGGTATCATAGGCCTTGACCAGGTCAATAAAGCAAAGATGTAGGTCTTGTTGGAATTCCCTACACCTCTGCTGTAGCAGACGGACATAAAATATGGCATCTGTGCAGGACCGCCCTAGCAAGGCGATGTTGAATAATCCTTGCCAGGACCTTTCCCGGCACACTGAGGAGTGAGATGCCTCTGCAGTTGTTGCAGTCTGTGCGGCCCCCCTTCTTAAAGAGGGGGGACCACCAGGGCATCCTTCCAATCCTGTGGAACCCGTCCAGCGGTCCAGACTGTTGTTATGATGTCATATAGGGCAGTCTGTGTGACTGTGTGTGTGTGACTGTGTGAGTGAGTGTGTGAGTGTGTGTCTGTGTGTGTGACTGTGTGCGTGAGTGTGTGTGTGTGAGTGTGTGTGTGTCACCTGCTCCACGCGGCACAGCTTGTCAGCTCCCTCCTGGTACATCCGCATGCAGTCCTCCGCCAGGTGCAGGTGCGTCGAGTACTGGGCACAAAGACAAAGGCCCCCCGTGTAGCCCACACACACCGCCGGGGCAAGTGCCGCGAGCGGGCGGCGAGCGCCTACGGAGGCCGACGCTGCGGCGTGCGGGGGGGGGGGGGGTGGCCAGCGGCACGCCCGGCCGCCTTTGTCTCCCCGCTGGCGATGTTTACCACGCACCGCCACCCGCTACTCATTTGAGGCCGAGTAGCCCTAGGGGAGTCCCGGGACCGGTCGAGATAATCGTCAGCGGCGTTGGTGGTCGTGAGCGGGAATCGAACCTCGGGTTGGCCGGGTCGGTAGCGCGGGCGGTGGTGATGGTCACGTGGTGGTGCAGGTTGGTGGTGGTTGTGGTGGTGGTCACGTGGTGGTGCAGGTTGGTGGTGGTTGTGGTGGTGGTGGTCAAGTAGTGGTGTTGGTTGCTGGTAGTGCAGGTGGTTGTGGTGGCGGTAGTGGTGTTTTGGTTGTGGTGGTTGTGGTGGTGGTTGTGGTGGTAGTGGTGTTGGTTGTGGTGGTAGTGGTGTTGGTTGTGGTGTAGGTGGTGGTTGTGTTGGTTGTAGTGGTGGTTGTGGTGGTTGTGGTTGTGGTGGTGGTTGTGGTGTAGGTGGTGGTTGTGGTTGTGGTGGTGGTTGTGGTGTTGTGGTGGTGGTTGTGGTGGTTGTGGTGGTGGAGGTGGTGGAGGTGGTGGAGGTGGTGGTTGCCAGCTGTGTCACCTTGCTCAGCTCTTTCTGGTACTGCGGCATCTTCTTGAGCATCTGGGACAAGTCGCGTATCGTGGTCTGTGGGGGGCACGGGGGGCGTGGGGGGCACGGCCGTCAGCGGTGGCGGTGACGACGACGGTGGTGGTGGTGGTGATGGTGATTCTGGTGGTGATTGTGGTGACGACGGTGGTGGTGGTGGTGGTTGTGATGGTGGTTCTGGTGGTGATTGTGGTGATGATGGTGGAGATAGTGGTGGCGATGATGATGATGGTGGTGATGGTAGTTCTGATGGTGGTGATGGTGGCAGTGATGATGGTGATGGTGGCGGTGATGGTGGCAGTGATGATGGTGATGGTGGCGGTGATGGTGGTGATGGTGGTGATAATGGGGGTGATAATGGGGGTGATGATGGTGGTGATGATGGTGATGATGGTGGTGATGGTGGTGATGGTGATGATGCTGTGGACACCTTTTCTCCGGATGAAGCCATCTTCTTGTTGGTGGAAAACTCCTTCAGTGAGCGAGTCACCTCCCTGGAGACAACACCATCATCACCATCACCACCACCATCATCACCATCACCACCACCATCATCATCATCACCATCACCACCACCATCAACATCATCATCACCACCACCATCACCACCATCACCACCATCACCACCACCACCACCATCACCACCACCATCACCACCACCATCACCACCACCTTCACCACCACCATCACCACCATCACCAACAGACACCATCACCACCATCACCACCATCACGACAACCATCACCACCACCTTCACCACCGCCGCCATCACCATCACCACCACCATCACCACCATCACCGCCATCACCGCCATTACCACCACCATCACCGCCATCATCACCATCACCATGGTGATGGTGTTGATGATGTTGATGTTACTCACTGTGAGACCTCTGCGATGTGCTTGTGCCGGAGTGACGCCCACAGCTCGTCATGGTGATGGTGGTGGTGATGGTGATGATGGTGTTGATGGTGTTGATGGTGTTGATGGTGGTGTTGTTGGTGTTGATGGTGTTGATGTTACTCACTGTGAGACCTCTGCGATGTGCTTGTGCCGGAGTGACGCCCACAGCTCGTCCTGGTGTTGGTGTTGATGGTGTTGATGGTGTTGATGGTGATGGTGGTGATGGTGTTGATGTTACTCACTGGGAGACCTCTGCGATGTGCTTGTGCCGGAGTGACGCCCACAGCTCGTCATGGTGATGGTGTTGATGGTGTTGGTGGTGGTGATGGTGTTGATGGTGTTGGTGGTGTTGATGGTGATGGTGTTGATGGTGTTGATGGTGGTGATGGTGTTGATGGTGGTGATGGTGTTGATGGTGTTGGTGGTGGTGATGGTGTTGATGGTGTTGGTGGTGTTGATGGTGGTGATGGTGTTGATGGTGTTGATGGTGTTGATGGTGGTGATGGTGTTGATGGTGTTGGTGGTGGTGATGGTGTTGATGGTGTTGGTGGTGTTGATGGTGATGGTGTTGATGGTGATGGTGGTGATGGTGCTGATGGTACTCACTGTGAGACCTCTGCGATGTGCTTGTGCCGGAGTGACGCCCACAGTTCGTCGTCCTCGTCCAGGGGAACCTCCTTCGTCTTCGTCTCCCCCTGCCCCGTCGTCTCGTACCTGCACACGACACACACACACAGTGACACACACACAGTGACACACACACAGTGAGACACACACACACACACAGTGACACACACACAGTGACACACACACACAGTGACACACACACACAGTGACACACACACACACACACAGGTGACACACACACACACAGTGACACACACACAGTGACACACACACAGTGACACACACACACAGTGACACACACACAGTGACACACACACAGTGACACACACACAGTGAGACACACACACACAGTGACACACACACAGTGACACACACACAGTGACACACACACACACAGGTGACACACACAGTGACACACACACAGTGACACACACACACACAGGTGACACACACACACAGTGACACACACACACAGTGACACACACACACAGTGACACACACACACAGTGACACACACACAGTGACACACACACAGTGAGACACACACAGTGAGACACACACACACACAGTGACACACACACAGTGACACACACACACAGTGACACACACACACAGGTGACACACACACACACAGGTGACGCACACACACACAGTGACACACACACAGTGACACACACACAGTGAGACACACACACAGTGACACACACACACAGTGAGACACACACAGTGACACACACACAGTGACACACACACAGTGAGACACACACACACAGTGAGACACACACAGTGACACACACAGTGACACACACACACAGTGACACACACACACACAGGTGACACACACAGTGACACACACACACACAGTGACACACACACACACAGGTGACACACACACACACAGTGACACACACACACAGTGACACACACACACAGTGACACACACACACAGTGACACACACACAGTGACACACACACAGTGACACACACACAGTGAGACACACACACACACAGTGACACACACACAGTGACACACACACACAGTGACACACACACACAGGACACACACACACACACAGTGACACACACACAGTGACACACACAGTGACACACACACAGTGACACACACACAGTGACACACACACAGTGACACACACAGTGACACACACACACAGTGACACACACACACAGTGACACACACACACAGGTGACACACACACACACAGGTGACACACACAGTGACACACACACACACAGTGACACACACACACACAGGTGACACACACACACACAGTGACACACACACACACAGGTGACACACACACACAGTGACACACACACACACAGTGACACACACACACAGTGACACACACACAGTGACACACACACAGTGACACACACACAGTGAGACACACACACACACAGTGACACACACACAGTGACACACACACACAGTGACACACACACACAGTGACACACACACACAGTGACACACACACAGTGACACACACACAGTGACACACACAGTGACACACACACAGTGAGACACACACACACAGTGAGACACACACACACACAGTGAGACACACACACACACAGTGAGACACACACACACACACAGCGAGACACACACACACAGTGAGACACACACACACAGGTGAGACGCAGGTGATACAACTGAACTCGGACTCTCAAACACAATCACCCTCCCCCTAACCCCCTGACGTCTGCCCTTAACCCCTCCACCCTCCCTGCCCTCTACCACCCCCTCACCCCCTTGCCCCCCTCACCCCCCCCTGCCCCCGCCCCTCCCCCTGCCCCCCGCCCCTCCCTGCCCTCCACTCCCCTGCCCCTCACACTCCCCAACCCCCTGCCCCCCTCACCCCCCCCCACCGCTCGCCCCCCCACCCCTTTGCCCCCCCCGCCCCCCCACCCCATCGCCCCCCCGCCCCCCGCCCCGCCCACTTGTAGACGTCGTTCTCGACGGGCAGCAGGTCGTAGGCCATGGCCTGGAAGGTCAACTCGTGCACGAGCGGCGACACGAGGTCCACGCCGCGGTCCACGATCAGCAGCTGCGAGCGAGCCTTGTCCGGGCCCTGGGGTCAGGCACGGGGGTCACGCCCTGGGGTCAGGCACGGGGTTGCCGCGGGGTCGCCACGAGGTCGCCGCGGGGTCGCCGCGGGGTCACCGCGGGGTCAGGCCGGTCGGCAGAGGTCAGCGGAGGGGTCGCGGTTCGAGGTTGCCGGGGGCTCGGGGGAGGTTGGCGGCGCGGGGGGGGGGGGAATTGGGGTTGGGGGGTCACGGTGAAGGAGGGGGTCGAGGCGTACAAAGTCACGGGGTCGTGCGGGGCTAAGCGTGGTCTCGTAGCGGTGGGTGAGTTGGTGAGCGGGTGAGTTGGTGAGTGGGTGAGTAGGTGAGTTGGTGAGTGGGTGGGTTGGTGAGCGGGTGTGCATGTAAGCGGGTGAGTAGGTGAGTTGGTGAGTTGGTGAGTTGGTGAGTGGGTGAGTTGGTGAGCGGGTGAGTGGGCGAGTGAGTGAGCGGGTGGGTGGGTGGGTGAGCGGGTGAGCGGGTGGGTGAGCGGGTGAGCGGGTGGGCGGGTGAGTGGGTGAGTGGGTAAGCAGGTGAGCAGGTGAGTGGGTAAGTGGGTGAGTGGGTGAGTGGGTGAGTTTGTGAGTGGGTGAGTGGGTGAGTGTGTGAGTGGGTGAGTGGGTGAGTTGGTGAGCGGGTGAGTGGGTGAGTGGGTGAGTGTGTGAGTGGGTGAGTGAGTAAGTGGGTGAGCGGGTGAGTGGGTGAGTGGGTGAGTGGGTGAGCTCACCTCGCCCATGGTGGGGTCGTCGGCCTTGTAGGCGTTGAGTTTGTCCTGAACCAGCTGAGCGAGCAGCCCATTCGGGGGGAACTCCCTGCACACGCAGCACGCAGAGTACACGCAGAGTACACACACAGTACACACACACACATAGCAGACACAGAGCACACGCAGAGTACACATACAGCACGAGTTAGTCGATGAGTGAGTCGGTGAGTGGAGTGGTGAGTGAGACGGTGAGTGAGTCGGTGAGTGAGTCGGTGAGTGGAGCGGCGAGTACCCGCGGTAGCGCACGGCCGGGTACTCCTTGAGCGTGGTGCACAGCGTGGCGATCTGCTCCGCCATGCGCTCCATGGCGCGGTTGCGCTCGCTGGCGCGGTGCGGGCTGTACACCACCTGCGTCGCCTCCACAAAGTCCAGCAGGAACACCTGGCACCACCACCACCACCACAACAACCACAACGTCAACCACAACCACGACAAGTCCAGCAGGAACACCTGGCACCACCACCACCACCACAACAACCACAACGTCAACCACAACCACGACAAGTCCAGCAGGAACACCTCGCACCACCACCACCACCACAATATCAACAACCACAATATCAACCACCACCACAACTGATGCAATCACAATCTCAGCCACAACCACCACCAACCAAGACAAACGCTACAACCACAACCAACAACATCAACCACGACAACATCACAACCACCATGACACCAAACTACGAGTCCACTGGCGTTGGTGTGGCCGCTACATCCAGAGTGATCGGTGTGGCCAGATGGTGGTGAGTGAGGGGGTGGTAAGTGAGGGGGTGGTGAGTGAGGGGTGGTGAGTGAGGGGGTGGTAAGTGAGGGGGTGGTAAGTGAGGGGGTGGTGAGTGAGGAGGTGGTGAGTGAGGGGGTGGTGAGTGAGGGGTGGTGAGTGAGGGGGTGGTGAGTGAGGGGGTGGTGAGTGAGGGGGTGGTGAGTGAGGGGGTGGTGAGTGAGGGGGTGGTAGTGAGGGGGTGGTGAGTGAGGAGGGTGGTGAGTGAGGGGGTGGTGAGTGAGGGGGTGGTGAGTGAGGGGGTGGTGAGTGAGAGGGTGGTGAGTGAGGGGGTGGTGAGTGAGGGGGTGGTGAGTGAGGGGGTGGGTGGGTGAGGGGGTGGTGAGTGAGGGGGTGGTGAGTGAGGGGGTGGTGAAGTGAGGGGGTGGTGAGTGAGGAGGTGGTGAGTGAGGGGGTGGTGAGTGAGGGGTGGTGAGTGAGGGGGTGGTGAGTGAGGGGGTGGTGAGTGAGGGGGTGGTGAGTGAGGGGGTGGGTGGGTGAGGGGGTGGTGAGTGAGGGGTGGTGAGTGAGGGGGTGGTGAGTGAGGGGGTGGTGATGTGAGGGGGTGGTGAGTGAGGGGGTGGTGAGTGAGGGGGTGGGTGGAGTGAGGGGGTGGTGAGTGAGGGTGGCGAGTGAGGGGTGGTGAGTGAGGGGGTGGTGAGTGAGGGGGTGGTGAGTGAGGGGGTGGTGAGTGAGGGGGTGGTGGGTGAGGGGGGTGGTGAGTGAGGGGGTGGTGAGTGAGGGGGTGGTGAGTGAGGGGGTGGTGAGTGAGGGGGTGGTGAGTGAGGGGGTGGTGGGGTGAGGGGGTGGGTGGGTGAGGGGGTGGTGAGGTGAGGGGGTGGGTTGGGGTGAGGGGTGGCGAGTGAGTGGTGGCGAGTGAGGGGTGGTGAGTGAGGGGTGGTGAGTGAGGGGTGGTGAGTGAGGGGGTGGTGAGTGAGGGGGTGGTGAGTGAGGGGGTGGGTGGGTGAGGGGGGTGGTGAGTGAGGGGGTGGTGAGTGAGGGGGTGGGGGGGTGAGGGGGTGGTGAGTGAGGGGGTGGGTGGGTGAGGGGGTGGCGAGTGAGTGGGTGGCGAGTGAGGGGGTGGCGAGTGAGGGGGTGGCGAGTGAGGGGGTGGCGAGTGAGTGGGTGGCGAGTGAGGGGGGTGGCGAGTGAGGGGGTGGTGAGTGAGGGGTGGTGAGTGAGTGGGTGGTGAGTGAGTGGGTGGTGAGTGAGTGGGTGGTGAGTGGGTGGGTGGTGAGTGGGTGGTGAGTGAGTGGGTGGTGAGTGAGGGGGTGGTGAGTGAGGGGGTGGTGAGTGAGGGGGTGGTGAGTGAGTGGGTGGTGGTGAGTGGGTGGGTGGTGAGGGTGGCGAGTGAGTGGGTGGCGAGTGAGTGAGTGGGTGGTGAGTGAGTGGGTGGCGAGTGAGTGGGTGGTGAGTGGGTGGGTGGTGGTGAGTGGGTGGGTGGTGAGCGTGGCGAGTGAGTGGGTGGTGAGTGGTACCTGCGACTCGTATGGCAGGAAGGCGATGTTGATCTCCTGCAGTGTCTTCACGGCCTTGGAGCACTTGGACTTGACCAGCTTGTTGAAGAGTGCGTCAGGGCACGCTGGCGTCACGGGGGGCAGAGGTCACGGGGTCACCGCAGAGGTCGCGAGGTCGAGGGGAGGGTCACGAGGCCATGGCGGTCAACAGACGTCGTGGGGAGGGTCACGAGGTCAACAGATAGTTCAGAAGGGCGTGGCGAAGGTCACGAGGTCAACAGAGGGGTCAGGAGGGTGTGTGGAGGGTCATGAGGTCAACAAAGGGGTCAGTAAGGTGTGGGGAGGGTCAAGCGCTCAAGCACTCATGTGGTGAGCAGGTGGTGAGCAGCGATGTAGTAGGTGGTGAGCGGTTATGGGTGAGTGGTGGTGAGGAGTGGTGAGGAGGGCTGTTGGTGGGTAAGTGGTGGTGAGTGGTGGTGAGGAGTGGTTGGCTAGGTGGGTGAGTAGTGGTGAGCGGCTGTGGTGAGTGGTAAGGGCTGTGGGTGGGTGAGTAGTGGTGAGTAGTGGTTGTGTGAGCGGTGGTGAGGAGGTTTGTGGGTGGGTGGGTGGGCATGCGATCAGTGGCAAGGGTTGTCAGTCAGTGAGCGGTGCTGTGGGTGGGTGGGTGTGAGAGTAGAAGCGAGGGCTGTGGGTGGGTGAGCAGTGGGTGAGAAGTGGGTGAGCGGTGGTGGTGGTGAGCGCTGGTGGTGAGCGGTGGTGGTGAGTGGCGGCACGCTCACCGTCAGTGAAGAACACGTGCGCCGCGCGATAGCGGTAGTTCATGGCGTCCATGAAGTCGTCGATCAGCACCGACACGGACTGCGTGCACACACCACAGGCAAAGATCCCCCGTGTAGCCTCTAGCAGGCTGTAGGGGCAAGTGTTGTTCGTAGCGAGTAGCAGCGCCTACGAAGGCCGGCGCTGTGGCACACGAGGGGGTGGGTGGTCAGCACCACGCCCGGCCGCCTTTGTCTCCCCAGCGGCGATGTTTACGCCACACCGCACCGGGTACTCATTTGAGGCCGAGTCAACCTAGGGGAGGCCCAGGACCGGTTCGCGTTGCTGATGGCCGTGAGCAGCAGGAATCGAACTCGGGTCGCCGGGTTCGTAGCGCAGCGTGTCGGTGATGTTGTTGATGTTGTTGCTGTTGTGGTGAATGCCGCTGTTGTTGCTGCTGCTGTTGTTGTTGTTTATGTTGTTAATGCCGCTGTTGTTGTTGTGGTTAATGCCACTGCTGTGGCTGCTGCTGTTGTTGTTGTTGTGGTTAATGCCACTGCTGTGGCTGCTGCCGCTGTTGTTGTTGTGGTTAATGCCACTGCTGTGGCTGCTGTTGTTGTTGTTGTTGATGTGGTTAATGCCACTGCTGTGGCTGCTGCTGTTGTTGTTGTTGTGGTTAATGACACTGCTGTGGCTGCTGTTGTTGTTGTTGATGATGTGGTTAATGCCACTGCTGTGGATGCTGTTGTTGTTGTTGTTGATGTGGTTAATGCCACTGCTGATGTTGTTGTTGCTGCTGATGTGGTTAATACCACTGCTGATGTTCTAATCGCCACTGCCCTGCCAAGGGCGATGGGACTTAGAGGCGGGGGGGGGGAGCTGGCAGATGCCCCCCCCGCTGTCGTGTTTCACCCTCCCCCTCCCCTCCCCCTCCCCTCCCCCTCTCCTATTGGTCAACCATGTTATGTATGCGAATGATCTGGTGATGGCTGCTCACTGTGGGGAGTTGGAGACTCTGATATTGAACCTGGAACGTGCCACTAAGCGATGGGGCCTAACCACCAGCCCCACAAACACGAAGCACCTGCCTGGGCATTTTGTCATCAAACACTCCACCCCCTCAGCTCCCCATTGGTGATGGAGCAGTTGTGGAGAGAGTGGAGAGTTTCCCATACCTGGGCAGTGTGCTTATGACCAGCTCCGGTTTGACAGCAGAGGTCTCACTCCGAATCAGTCGAGCGGCATTATCTTTTCATCGGTTGCGTAACGCTGTGTGGAAGCTACCTGGTCTGTCGCTTAACACGAAGCTTCAGGTCTTCTCGGCCACGGTCATTCCCTCCCTTCTCTACGCTTGCGAAACGTGGACCCACCTAATGGAACATCTTTGCCGGTTAGAAACATTTAGGCTGGCCTGCCTACGATCCATCCTGGGTTTAACCTGGCTGCATTGTGTGAGGAGCTCACAAATCCTTGAGAGATCTGGGCAAAGTCCCATCGGTGAGCTCTTGCAGCAGGCAATGCTGCGTTGGCTGGGTCATGTAGCCCGCATGCCCAGCCACCGCATGCCTAAACAGCTTTTGTTAGGTCGGATCGAGGGGGCTAAACGGGCGCGGCACGGGCTAGAGAAGAGATGGAGTGATGTGGTACAAGAGGACGTGGAGCTGAGTGGACCGGCCAATGACTGGTACCAGTGGTGTCAAGATCGGCCTCTGTGGAGGAGGCTCGTGAAGGACGCTACTGGGGGGGGGGGGGGTGCCAGGCTATGTGCACAGTGAGGCTACTGGGCAGGTGGAGGCAGTCGCCCTCCAGCAATAAAGGAGGGCGGAGGAGCGACGCTCACAACAACGAGCGGAGCGCCGGGCGGCTAAAACACAGCAAACTGGCACAGCGGGGAGCACAGGTGGTGCATCTACCGGTCATCTCAGTCAGTCGACCCATGGCACCTGCTGGGTCTGCCCCGTGACCTCCTGCCAGCAGCGAGCCCTCGATGCTGCGTGCGGCCTCAAAGTGCACCCAGCCTGGCACAGGCGCCGTGCTGAGTGTGGAAACAATCCCGGCAGCAGCTCCGGCCGCTCGTGCCGCGTCCCATTCGCACTCCTCCTCCGCCTCCTCAACCACGTCCTCCTCCACCTCCTCCTCCACGTCCACCTCCTCTTTCACCTCCTCCTCCGTCACCATCGATTCGTCCTCGACCACCGGCCACGACTCATCTGTGGCCCTTGCAGCGTCGTCGTCGTCATTCGGCACGCTCCATGCACTGCTGGATGCAGGCCGCCCTCCCCCCCTCCCTCCCCCTCCCCCCTCCCCAAGGCGCCACCTCGTGTCAAGCGCTCACATCACCGAGCTCCCCATTCACGACCCCCCCTCCCCCACCTCCTCCTCCTCCACCTCCCCCAGGGGCCCAAATGATTCCTCCCCCTAATGGGCTCCTCCTCCCCCCTCTCTGGGGCCCAATAAAACCCCCTCTCCCTCCCCCTCTCCCTCCCCTCCCCCCTCTCCCTCCCCTCCCCCCTCTCCCTCTCCTACCCCCCTCCCCCCCTACGCCCCTCCCCCCCTACGCCCCTCCCCCCTACCCCTCTCCCTCCCCTCTCTCAAGCCGGAGTCGGTAACGAGATAATCTCGAATGAGTGGAACACGACCTCCCCTGGGCCCCTCCCCCTCCAGCCCCTCCCCCTCCAGCCCCTCCCCCTCCAGCTCCTCCACCTCCAGCCCCTCCCCCAGCATCCCCCCGACCCCATCCCTCCCCACGTGTTAAATGAGGTGAGTATGATGCGTGACGAGGCGAGTGTGACGAGGTGACGAGGCGAGCGTGACGAGGCGAGCGTGACGAGGCGAGCGTGACGAGGCGAGCGTGACGAGGCGAGCGTGACGAGGCGAGCGTGACGAGGCGAGCGTGACGAGGTGCTCACCTTTTCGGTGGGCGTGATGAGGTAGACAGCCTCCAGAGTGGGCAGCGTCTCCCTCACCTTGTGCAGGTCCTCCACGACTACAGTACACACACAGTACACACACAGTACACACACAGAGTACACACACAGTACACACACACAGTACACACACAGTACACACACAGAGTACACACACAGTACACACACACAGTACACACACACAGTACACACACAGAGTACACACAGAGTACACACACAGTACACACAGAGTACACACACAGTACACACACACAGTACACACACACAGTATACACACAGTACACGCAGAGTACACACACAGTACATGCAGAGTACACGCAGAGTACACACACAGTACACACACAGTACATGCAGAGTACACACACAGAGTACACACACAGTACACACACAGTACACACACACAGTACACACACAGTACACACACAGAGTACACACACAGTACACACACAGTACACACAGAGTACACACACAGTACACACACACAGAGTACACACAGAGTACACACACAGTACACACACACAGAGTACACACACAGTACACACACACAGTGTACACACAGTGTACACACAGTACACACACAGTACACACACAGTACACACACACAGTACACACACAGTACACACACACAGTACACACAGCACACGCACAGTACACACACACAGTACACACAGCACACGCACAGTACACACACACAGAGTACACACACAGTACACACACAGTACACACACACAGAGTACACACACAGTACACACACACAGTACACACACAGTGTACACACACAGTGTACACACACAGTACACACACACAGTACACACACAGTGTACACACACAGTACACACACACAGTACACACACAGTACACACAGTACACACACACACAGTACACACACACAGTACACACAGCACACGCACAGTACACACTACCCATAGACTCAACACTGTCCATAGACTCAACACTGTCCATAGACTCAACACTCCCATAGACTCAACACTGTCCATAGACTCAACACTGTCCATAGACTCAACACTGTCCATAGACTCAACACTGCCCTGCCCATAGACTCAACACTGCCCATAGACTCAACACTGTCCATAGACTCAACACTGCCCATAGACTCAACACTGTCCATAGACTCAACACTGTCCATAGACTCAACACTGCCCTGCCCATAGACTCAACACTGCCCATAGACTCAACACTGTCCATAGACTCAACACTGCCCATAGACTCAACACTGCCCATAGATTCAACACTGCCCATAGACTCAACACTACCCATAGACTCAACACTGTCCATAGACTCAACACTGCCCATAGACTCAACACTACCCATAGACTCAACATTACCCATAGACTCAACACTGCCCATAGACTCAACACTGCCCATAGACTCAACACTGCCCATAGACTCAACACTGCCCATAGGCTCAACACTGCCCATAGACTCAACACTGTCCATAGACTCAACACTGCCCATAGACTCAACACTGTCCATAGACTCAACACTGTCCATAGACTCAACACTGCCCTGCCCATAGACTCAACACTACCCATAGACTCAACACTACCCATAGACTCAACACTGCCCATAGACTCAACACTGCCCATAGACTCAACACTGTCCATAGACTCAACACTGTCCATAGACTCAACACTGCCCATAGACTCAACACTGCCCTGCCCATAGACTCAACACTGCCCATAGACTCAACACTACCCATAGACTCAACACTGCCCATAGACTCAACACTGCCCATAGACTCAACACTGTCCATAGACTCAACACTGCCCATAGACTCAACACTACCCATAGACTCAACACTGCCCATAGACTCAACACTGTCCATAGACTCAACACTGCCCATAGACTCAACACTACCCATAGACTCAACACTGCCCATAGACTCAACACTGCCCATAGACTCAACACTGCCCATAGATTCAACACTGCCCATAGATTCAACACTACCCATAGACTCAACACTGCCCATAGACTCAACACTGCCCATAGACTCAACACAAGTAGTAGCTGCACAAGTAGCTACGGGCCCCGCACTTTCAAGGGCCCCGCGCTAAATGCTTTCAAGCTATCAATTCCGGTTCACTGATTCTGCACTTGCTCTATTACTATAGTACTATACCGCCTTCGCCTTTTATGATCGACCGGGCGTTTAAGGTTAGCGATTTGTCGTATTATCTGGCCGTGTAGCAAATGAAAAATTACAATCACTCTACTACGCGAGTGAGTCACGTGTGTGTATGTGTGACTAGGTTCGTGCTGTACCCCTGTCACTCAGCACGTGCCCCAGGCCCTCGACACTCACTCGTGATGCCCTCGCTCATGATGTCCGTCATGCGGCAGCAGGCCGACAGCATGCGCATGCTCAGGTGGTCGACCACGAGCACCTGCGGCACGGGACGGGCGGGGGGGGGGGGGATTCCGCGTTCAACAGCGCAGACGGCGGGGGGGCAGGGGAGGCAGGGGGGGGGGTCAAGTGCACTGGGGAGAGGGCAAGTCGGGTGCTGAGTCGGGTGCTGAAGGGGAGCTGAGATGAGAAGGAGTCGCCCGAGACGAGGGACGTTGTTGAGAGGAAGCCTCTGGATGGGAGTGGAGGGAGGCAGGGGATGGTGGAGAAGGGATCGCAATGGCGGAGGGGGGCGAGGGGGCGACTGGCGGTCAGGAATATTACCGGAGGGAATGAGCTGTGGGGGGGGGGGGGGGACGATGGTAAGAAGGAAGGTGGAGATGGAGTGAATTGGCGGGAGGATAGAGGAGGGTGCTGAGATTAAGATTAAGGTCACCCAGAAGAATGAATGGGTTGGGATGAGTAAAGAATTAATTTAAGATTATTAAAGAAGGACAGAAGGTGGGGGGGGGGGGGGTGCCGGGAGGGGCAATGGACGACGAGCCGAGAGAATTGGTGCCGGGGGGAGAGGCCGGATGGAATTGGGGGATGAGAAAAGGGGGAACGGGAGAGGTCGCCGAGCCAAGATGGGGCGAGTTGAGGAGACGCATCATCCCCCCCCCGTCTTGTCCGGCTTGCCGACATTGTGTGGGCGAAGGCGGAAGAGGAGGAGGTGGTGGTCGTGGTTGTGTTGGTGGTGGTGGTGGTCGTGGTGGTGGTGGTGATGGGCACCGGAGTGGCAGCGTCGAGTGTAAGTATCCATGTCTCTAGATTTGAAGTTTTCGTGATTGCAAGGATCCATACTCTTTGGTTTTTTCGGTAAAGTCATGTAGGTGAAAACAAAATAAAATAAGACAACTAAATTAAATCACAACGTTTCGGAAGCAACACAAGCATCCGCCATCAGGTGTGACTGCTCCAGCAAAATGACTGTAGCGCATGAAGCGAGCTCTTTAGAGACACGTGTTTATGTGTGAGTGCAATCACATGGAGGTCCCAGCCACGACGATTGTCGTTTTGTATCGTGCCGGGTGCCAGGCCCCGCTGAGCTGCGTAGCTCTTTTAACAGTGGCGACCTGGCCCATCAGATTACAGGCCGATAAAGCGGCAGCTCACCACCACCATCATCATCCCCATCATCACCACCATCATCATCACCACCACCATCACCACTACCATCATCACCACCATCATCACCATCATAATCATCACCATCATCATCACCATCACCACCATCATCATCACCATCATCATTACCATCTTCACCACCACCATCACCACCATCATCACCATCATCATCACCACCATCATCACCACTACCATCACCACCATCATCGTCCTGGGGACATTTCTAGCAGCAGCCGAATTCCTCTGAACGCGTGCTGACGTCGATTCTAAATGTGGAGCGGGAAAACAGGACCCGGAGAGACACAAGTCCACGCGACCACGGGGAGAGGGAGACACACAGACTGCGAATACACAGCAGCAGCAGCAGGCGTAGTCAGGGTCGAGATTGAACCCACGACCTCCTGTGTACCAGGCGAGGGAGTCAACATCTCCTCGCCACCGTGATGATGATGAGAGAGACACACAGACTCCAACTACACAGCAGTAGGCGTAGTCAGGGTCGGGATTGAACCCACGACCTCCTGTACACCAGGCGAGGGAGTCAACGTCTCATAACCAGCGAGGCGTGAGTGGCCGTGCCTCTTGGTAAGTTGGCATCGGCAGAAGTGAGGTCCGGGATTTGGGTGGACACCAACCAGCCGAAGGTGGTGATGGAGGTGGTGATGATGTGATGATGATGGTGGTAATGATGGCGGTGATGATGGTGGTGATGATGGTGGTAATGATGGCGGTGATGATGGTGGTGATGATGGCGGTGATGATGCTGTGATGATGGTACTTGCCTTCCATTCTCCTCGCTTCTTCACCTTCTTAATCACCTCGGTCATGATCTCTGCGTACACACACAGTACACACGTGTCTGTGTATGTCACTGTGTGTATGTCACTGTGTCTGTGTCACTGTGTCTGTGCCACTGTGTCTGTGCCACTGTGTCTGTGCCACTGTGTCTGTGCCACTGTGTCTGTGCCACTGTGTCTGTGCCACTGTGTCTGTGCCACTGTGTCTGACACCCACAGATATTGTAGTGGTTAGCGCGCTGCGCTATGAACCTTGCGACCCGGGTTCGATTCCCGCTCATGGCCAACACCAGTGACGATTATATGAACCGGTCCCGGGCCTCCCCTAGGTCGACTCAGCCTTAAATTAGTACTTGGTGCGATGTGTAAACATCGTCACTAGGGAGACAAAGGCGGCCGGGCGTGGTGCCGTGCCGGCCTTCATAGGTGCTTCTCGCTAACAGCACTTGCCCCATACAGTCTATTAAGGCTAAATGGGGAATCTTTGTGTCACACCGTGTGTGTGTGTGTCACACCGTGTGTGTGTGTCACACCGTGTGTGTGTGTCACCGTGTGTGTGTCACACCGTGTGTGTGTGTACACGTGTGTGTGTCACCGTGTGTGTGTCACCCTGTGTGTGTGTACACGTGTGGGGAGCGGTAGTGTAGCAGTCAGCGCGCTGCGCTACGAACCCAGACGACCCGATTTCGATTCCCGCTCACGGCCAACACCAGTGACAGTTATCTGAAACAATACTGGGCCTCCCCTAGGTCGACTCAGCCTCAAATCACTACATAGTGCAATGCGTAAACATCACCGCTGGGGAGACAAAGGCGGCCGGGCGTGGTCCTGGCCACCCACCCCCTCGTGTGCCGGCCTTCATGGGTGCTCGCCAACAGCACTTGCCTCAACAGTCTGTTAAGGCTACACGGGGGATCTTTGTCTGGGGGGGGGGGGGGGGGTCGGTGGCTGTGGCGCAGTGGTTAGCGCTGCAGTCGCCAACAGCACTTGCCCCAAATGTTTGTTCGGGCTATACGGGGGATCTTTGCCTTTGCCGTGCCAGCGCGTGCCAACTGCGCATGCGCAGAACACCGCCATGAAAGTGAACCCGTCACGGACGATCCCCCACGGGGGCGTCGCCAGCCGCGAGGGGTCCACTGCTGGATGGGTCACCGCCTCCACCCTGACATTCACCATCATCATCACCATCACCACCGCCTCCACCCTGACATTCACCATCACCACCATCACCACCACCATCATCATCATCACCACCGCCTCCACCCTGACATTCACCATCACCACCATCATCATCATCACGGTGATGATGATGGTGATGATGATGGTGATGATGATGGTGGTGATGATGATGGTGATCATGATGGTGATGGTGGTGATGGTGGTGATGATGATGATCATGATGGTGATCATGATGGTGATGATGATGGTGATGCATGATGGTGATGATGATGGATGATGGTGGTGATGATGATGATGATGGTGGTGATGATGATGATGATGATCATGATAGTGATGATGATCATGATGATGGTGATGAATGATGGTGATCATGATGGTGATGGTGGTGATGATCATGATAGTGATGATGATCATGATGATGGTGATGATGATCATGATGATGGTGATGATGATGGTGGTAATGATGGTCATGATGATAATGATGGTGATGATGATGATGGTGGTGATGATGGTGATGATGATGATGATCGTGATGATGGTAATGATGGTCATGATGATAATGGTGGTGATGATGGTGGTGGTGATGGTGGTGATGGTGGTGATCATGATGGTGATGATGATGGCGATGATATCAATAACGGTGACTAAGACGCCCCCCCCACCCCACTGCGCATGCATCCGAGAGCGCGCGCACGTCCACGAGCACAACAAAGACAAAGATCCCCCGCGTAGCCTCAACAGGCTGGCGGGGCAAGTGCCGTGAGGAGCGAGTCGCCACACCTCGGCACTGTGGCACACGAGGGGGCGGTGTGGCTAGCAGCACGCCCGGCCGCCTTTGTCTCCCCAGTGCCGATGTTTACAACGCACCGCGGCGGTTGACCAGCTGAGGCTGAGTCGACCTAGGGGAGGCCCAGACAATCGTCACCCGAGTTCGATTCGCCGCTCGGCCGTGAAGCGCAATGCGCTGATCACTCCTCACGTATCCATCACCCACACAGACAAAGATCCCCCGTGTAGCCTTAACAGACTGTAGAGGCAAGTGCTGTTAGCGAGTAGCACCTATGAAGGCCGGCACGGCACACGAGGGAGTGGGTGGCCGGCACCACGCTCGGCCGCCTTTGTTTCCTCAGTGACGATGTTTACGCACCGCGCCAGCTACTGATTTAAGACCGAGTCGACCTAGGGGAGGCCCAACACCGCTTCAGATAATCGTCATTCTTATTGGACGTGGGACGGCAATCGACCTCGGTTCGTAGCGGAGCGAGTTAATCACTGCACCACCGCTCCGCACACGCAGGCACACACACATCACACACACACCATCACCCATACACACAGACACACACACCATCACACACACACCATCACACACACACCATCACACACACACACCATCACACACACACGGCGACGGCCTTGAAAGCAAATACACACACACACCACGCACACACACACAAAGGACAAATATCCCCCGTTTAGCCTGAACAGACTGTTATAGCAAGTGCTGTTAGCGAGTGGGTGGCCAGCACCACACCCGGTCGCCTTTGTCTCTCTAGTAGCGATGTTTACACATCGCACCAGGTACTCATTTGAGGCTGAGTCGACCTAGGGGAGGCCCAGGGCTGGTTAAGATAATCGCCACTGGTGTTGGCCGTGAGCGGGAATCGAACCCGGGTCGCCAGGTTCGTAACGCAGCGCGCTAACCACTACACCACCGCTCCCACACTATACACACACCCCAGGCCACACATCCACACACCAAGATGTACGCACATCATCCCACACACACACATCATCCCACACACACATCAACCACACACACACACATCATACACACACACGCACATCAACCACACACACACACATCAACCCACACACGCACATCATCCCACACACACACACATCAACCCACACACGCACATCATCCCACACACACATCAACCACACACACACACATCATACACACACACACATTAACCACACACACACACACATCATACACACACACACCATCACATCAACCCACACACATCCCACACACACATCATCCCTCACACACACATCACCCCACACACACACACACATCAACCCACACACACACACATCATACACACACACATCCCACACACACACCAGGATGCACACACACACCAGGATGCACACACACATCACCCCAGACACATCACCCCACACACACACACACCATCATCCCTCACACACACACATAAACACACACACCATCCCACACACACACACCATCCCACACACACATCATCCCTCACACACCAGGATGCACACACACACACACCAGGATGCACACCCCACACACACACCAGGATGCACACACACACCATCCTACACACACACACATCACCCCACACACACACACCACCCCACACACATCACCCCCCACACACACACCAGGATGCACACCCCAGGATGCACACCCCAGGATGCACACCCCACACACACACCAGGATGCACCCACTCCCGCACAGACACTCCAGCTCGCGCAGTCACCGCAGCTGTGAGACGGAGTGCCACTCACTCTCCCCCACCACCGCCTTCAGTCCTCGTTGGGGCGCCATCTTCCTCGCTCTCTCCTCTCGCTCTCTCTCTCTCTGCGTCTCTCCCTCCTGCGCTCTCTCCACTCACGTGACTCGTAATGACGGGAGGGAGAGAGATGGGAGAGAGCGCTACCGCAATGACGCGGCACCGCTCCCCCCACTCACCCCCCACCACGCCACCACAACTACAGCCATCATCACCACCATTAACATCACACCATCATCATCATTATGGCATCATTTGCACAATCACCATCATCAGCGTCATTAACGTCACACGCTGTCACGATAGAAATCATTAACAAAGCACCATCATCACCATCACCACCATCATCACCATCACCATCATCACAATCATTATCACAACAACCACCATCATCGTCATCATCACCACCGCCACCCACCATCATCACCACAACCACCAACTAACACTATCAACCACCATTCCTATGACTACGGCAATTCACACAATCACCATCGCTACCACCATCATGAACATCACCGTCGCCACCATCAAATTGCCATCCACACCGCAAACATCACCGCTATGCCAACCACAGTGGCACCCCTCCCTTGAGCCCGAGATGGATGCGGCTACAGGGAGACGCGAGCGCGCTGGGGAGCACCGCGTGACACATCGCCCATCAGTGTCACCCACTCCACCCCCATCAGTGTCACCCACTCCACCCCCACCGCGTCACCCACACCACCCTCACCGCATCACCCACACCACCCCCACAGCGTCACCCCCCCCCCCCCACATCACCCCACCGCACCACTTCAAACCACGCCCACCGCATCACCCACACCACCCCCACAGCGTCACCCACACCACCCCCACCACGTCACCCACATCACCCCCACAGCACCACCCACACCACCCCCACCGTATCACTCACACCACCCCCACAGCATCACCCACACCACCCCCACCGCGTCACCCACACCACCCCCACCGTATCACCCACACCACCCCCACCGCGTCACCCACATCACCCCACCGCGTCACCCACACCACCCCCACCGCGTCACCCACTCCACCCCCACCGCGTCACCCACACCACCCCCACCGTATCACCCACACCACCCCCACCGCGTCACCCACACCACCCCCACCGCGTCACCCACACCACCCCCACCGCGTCACCCACACCACCCCCACCGTATCACCCACACCACCCCCACAGCATCACCCACACCACCCCCACCGCGTCATCCACACCACCCCCACTGCGTCACCCACTCCACCCCCACCGTATCACCCACACCACCCCCACAGCATCACCCACACCACCCCCACCGCGTCACCCACACCACCCCCACCGCGTCATCCACACCACCCCCACCGCGTCACCCACTCCACCCCCACCGCGTCACCCACACCACCCCCACCGTATCACCCACACCACCCCCACCGCGTCACCCACACCACCCCCACAGCATCACCCACACCACCCCCACCGCGTCATCCACACCACCCCCACCGCGTCACCCACTCCACCCCCACCGCGTCACCCACACCACCCCCACCGTATCACCCACACCACCTCCACCGCGTCACCCACATCACCCCCACCGCGTCACCCACACCACCCCCACCGCATCACCCACACCACCCCCACCGTATCACCCACACCACCCCCACAGCATCACTCACACCACCCCCACCGCGTCACCCACACCACCCCCACCGCGTCACCCACACCACCCCCACCGCGTCACCCACACCACCCCCACCGCGTCACCCACACCACCCCCACCGCGTCACCCACACCACCCCCACAGCATCACCCACACCACCCCCACCGCGTCACCCACACCACCCCCACCGCGTCACCCACACCACCCCCACCGCGTCACCCACACCACCCCCACCGCACGATTCCGCGGGCGTGGCGGAGCGACCTAGCGGGTGGATGCGGGAGAGGCGGGGGGAGGGGGAGGGGCGTGGGGGGGCGGCGATGGGAGCCGGGGGGAGGGGCGTGGGGGAGGGGCGATGGGGAGGGGAGGCGGCCGGGTAAGGAGCCGCGGGAGCGGCAGCTGAGGCGATGGGAGCCGGGGGAGGGGTGGGGGGGGAGGGGCGGGGCGGGGGGCGATGCTGTTCCTCGGGCTATAAAACAAATAACGACCAAGACGCCCCGGATAGCCTAGAGAGGCTGTTGGGGCAAGTGCTGTTAGCTGGTAGCACATATGAAGGCCGGCACAGCACCACGGCCGGCTGGCCGCTTTGTCTCCCCAATGCTGATGTTTACACACCGCACCGGGTACTCATTTAAGGCTGAGTTGACCTAGGGGAGGCCTAGGACCGGGTCAAATGTCTGCCACTGTGGGAAATGGACCCCACCAGACGACTCGCTCCCAGCGCATGCTCCTAAAATGGCGGCGGCTTAGAGGAGGCCTTCATTCAGCAGCCGATTGAGCATAGCCCAAAATGATGCCCCAGCACCACACGAACGTACAACGCACTGCACACACAGCGCGTTATTTGCATCCATAACACATGCACACACATAGATAACACAAACCCCGCACGCTCTAACCACGTGTCCTTTCGTTGGATCCGAGGCATCCCATTGGCACCCTCACCGGGGCTCGCTCACTAAGCCATGCACGGGGCGGAGGAGGCCAGGCGCTGTCCCTGGTGCTGAATCTCCCAGTGATCCCGTGGGGGGCGCTGTCCCTGGAGCTGAATCTCCCAGTGACCCCGTGGGGGGCGCTGTCCCTGGTGCTGAATCTCTCAGTGACCCCGTGGGGGGCGCTGTCCCTGGTGCTGAATCTCCCAGTGACACCGTGGGGGGCGCTGTCCCTGGTGCTGAATCTCCCAGTGACCCCGTGGGGGGCGCTGTCCCTGACGCTGAATCTCCCAGTGACCCCGTGGGGGGCGCTGTCCCTGGTGCTGAATCTCCCAGTGACCCCGTGGGGGGCGCTGTCCCTGGTGCTGAATCTCCCAGTGACCCCGTGGGGGGCGCTGTCCCTGGTGCTGAATCTCCCAGTGACACCGTGGGGGGCGCTGTCCCTGGTGCTGAATCTCCCAGTGACCCCGTGGGGGGCGCTGTCCCTGACGCTGAATCTCCCAGTGGCCCCGTGGGGGGCGCTGTCCCTGGAGCTGAATCTCCCAGTGGCCCCGTGGGGGGCGCTGTCCCTGGAGCTGAATCTCCCAGTGGCCCCGTGGGGGCGCTGTTGTTGAAAGGTACGAAATCGGTTCAGCAATCGCGTCCGTATATAATGATATCGAGTGCTATATAATAATATAATAGTATTCGACTAGTAAAATATTTTGGAGAGTAATTGGATGCCAATTACCAACCAACTGCCTCTCACGCTCGGCCCGAAATCTGCGGTCGTGTGAATGCTGCATGACCCTGTGCCCTGCCATCGTGCACGAGCAGGTTAGTGAGTGGGTGTAGGGGAGGGGTGGGGGAAGAAGGGGGTAACGTGGCGGGGTAGATCAGGTTCGGAGGGAGAGAGGGGAGCGAGTGGGCAGCTTAATATCCCGCAGTCATCAACATTCCCTACGCCCCCCCCCCCCACCACCTTCACTAACTCCCCGGGAATAATCGCGACTGGCTCGGGATAACTACAGGGCTCAGGGACGCTGATCGGATCATATTCGCGCATCGGGTCACCGGGACATACCCGCTCGCAGCCGGTGTGTGTGTGTGTGTGCTGCTGTGTGTGCACGCGCGTGCGCATGTGTGGGTGTGTGAGGCACATTCCGTCGCTTTAGGGCTGAGTCTACCCTAGGGGAGGCTCGTCAGGGTCAAGTGGTGGTCGCTGTGACCCGGGTGCAGAACAGTTGATTTACCCGAATCTCATTGGGCCATCTACCCACCTGACAGAGGGTGTTCACTCACTCACTCACACATTCACTCACCCACTCACTACATATACTCACCCACTCACTCACTCACCCATTCACTCACCCACTCACTCACCCACACACTCACCCACTCACTCACCCACTCACTAACTCACCCATTCACTCACCTATACTCACTCACCCACACACTCACCCACTCACTCACTCACCCACTCACTCACTCACCCACTCACTCACTACATACACTCACCCAACCACCCACTCACTCACCCACTCACCCACTCACTCACTCACTACATACACCCACCCACTCACTCACTCACCCATTCACTACATACAGCCACTTACTCACTCACCCATTCACTCACTCACTCACTCACCCACTCACTGCATACACTCACCCAACCACCCACTCACTCACCGACGCACTCACTCAACAGCAACAGCCAGTCACCACTAAGTGGTGGTGACGTCACCACGGCGCTTGTGGTGCCAGGCGAGGTGCACTTCAAGACCACGTGAAGTGTCGAATGCCCACTTGCAGGTCTCGGGACAGACACATGTGCCATGGGTTGACTGGCTGAGATAACTGGCAGATGCATCACCTCCACCCCCTACTGTGCCATCTTGCTGTGTTTTAGCCGCCCGGCGCTCCGCTCGTCATTGTGGGCGTCGCTCCTCCGCCCTCCGTTGTTGCTGGATGTCGACTGATCAGTAGCGTCCTTCACGAGCCTCCTCCATAGAGGCAGATCTTGTCACTGCTGGTACTAGTCATCGGCAAGTCCACTCAGCTCCACATCTTCTTGTACCACATCACTCCATCTCTTCTCTAGCCCGTGCCTCGCCCGTTTAGCCCCCTCGATCCCGCCGAACAAAAGCTGTTTAGACATGCGGTGGCTGGGCATGCGGGCTACATGACCCAGCCAACGCAGCCTTGCCTGCCGGAGGAGCTCACCGATGGGACTTTGTCCAGATCTTTCAAAGATTTGTGAGCTCCTCACACAATCCAGCCTGGTTACACCCAGGATGGATGGTAGGCAGGCCAGCATGAATGTCTCAAACCGTGCAAGTGTGTATGTGTGCATGCATGTGTGTATGTGTGTGTGTATGTGTGTGTATGTGTGCATGTGTGTATGTGTGTACGTGTGCATGTGTATATGTGTGTACGTGTGCATGTGTATACGTGTTTACGTGTCCATGTGTGCATGTGTGTGTATGTGTGTACGTGTGCATGTGTGTATATGTGCATCTGTGTACGTGTGTACGTGTGCATGTGTGTACGTGTGTATGTGTGCATGTGTGTACGTGTGCATGTGCATGTGTGTACGTGTGTATGTGTGCATGTGTGTATGTGTGTACGTGTGTACGTGTGCATGTGTGTACGTGTGTACCTGTGCATGTGTGTACGTGTGTACGTGTGCATGTGTGTACATGTGCATGTGTGCATGTGTGTACGTGTGTATGTGTATGTGTGCATGTGTGCATGCACGTGTGTACGTGTGTATGTGTGCATGTGTGCATGTGTGCATGTGTGTGTGTATGCA